AGGCCGACCGATAGTCATGCTCCATGGACTCTCCGAACTCCTCCCAGTCCCGGGTTTTTGCCTCTGCAACGGCCCGGGCCGCGGCACGTTTGGCCTGCCGGTACTGGACAGCTGCCTCAGGAGTCCCACGAACCATCATTGCTCGATAGGACTCCTTCTTCAGCCTGACGGCATCCCTTACTGCCGGTGTCCACCACCGGGTTCGGGGATTGCCGCCGGGACCAGCACCAGAGACCTTGCGACCACAGCTCCAAGCCGCCGCATTGGCGATAGAGGAAGAGAACATGGTCCACTCGGACTCGATGTCCCCCTCCTCTGCCGGGGCCTGGGAGAAGCTCTCCCGGAGGTGTGAGTTGAAAGTCCGTCTGACAGGGGGCTCAGCGAGACGTTCCCAGCAAACCCTCACTACACGCTTGGGCCTGCCAGGTCTGACCGGCCTCCTGCCCTGCCAGCGGATCCAACTCACGACCAGGTGATGATCGGTTGACAGCTCCGCCCCTCTCTTCACCCGAGTGTCCGAGACACGCGGTCGAAGGTCAGATGATACGACTACAAAGTCGATCATCGACCTCCAGCCTAGGGTGTCCTGGTGCCACGTGCACTGATGGACACCCTTGTGCTCGAACATGGTGTTCGTGATGGACAGGCCGTGACTGGCACAGAAGTCCAACAACTGAACACCGCTCGGGTTCAGATCAGGGGGGCCGCTCTTCCCGATCACCCCTCTCCAAGTGTCACTGGCATTTCCCACATGGGCGTTGAAGTCCCCCAGGAGAATAACGGAGTCCCCGGGCGGTGCACTGTCCAGTACCCCTCCCAAGGACTCCAAGAAGGCCGGGTACTCTGCACTACCGTTAGGCCCGTAGGCCGTCACAACAGTGAGAGACTTGTTCCCCACCCGGAGGCGGAGGGACGCGACCCTCTCATTCACCGGGGAGAACTCCAACACGTGGCGGCTGAGATGGGGGGCAATGAGTATGGCCACCCCAGCTCGCCGCCTCTCCCCGCGGGAAACACCAGAAAAGTGGAGCGTCCAACCCCTCTCAAGGAGTTGGGTTCCAGAGCCCAAGCTGTGTGTGGAGGTGAGGCCGACTATCTCTAGTCGGTATCGCTCAACCTCCCCCACAAGCTCGGGCTCCTTCCCCCCCAGTGAGGTGACGTTCCACGTCCCAAGAGCCAGATGTTGGGTGTGTGGACTGGGTCGTCGAGGTCTCCGCCTTCGACTGCTGCCCAGTCCTCTCTGCACCTCGCCACCACGGACCCCTCTGCAGGTGGTGAGCCCACAGGAGGGACTGCCCACGTCATCCCTTCGGGCTGAGCCCGGCCGGGCCCCGTGGGCTAAGGCCCGGCCACCAGGCGCTCGCTTGCGAGCCCCGACCCCAGGCCTGGCTCCAGGGTGGGGCCCCGGCTGCGCCATGCCGGGCGACGTCACGGTTTTTGTTGTCGTGCTGTCCATGGTTGGCTTCGGACTGCGCTTCGTCTGACTCGTCACTTGAGACCTGTCTGCCATGGGAGACCCTACCAGGGGCATGAAGCCCCAGACAGCATAGCTCCCAGGATCATCCGAGTGCTCAAACTCCCCCACCACGTTAAGGTGGCAGTCCAAGGGGGGAGACCCCTAAAGGCTAATATTCGTTTTTACATTATGCCAGTCTCACTGTGGTTGCCTAAAGCCTGGTTCACACGGCAGGATATTTAGGCCGATTTAGACCCGATTTACCCCTTACGACAATCTTAAGAAACGCTCCGATTTCCGTAACAAAATCTTACAGATTATCCTGCCGTGTGTGGTGTGTTAAGACTGCACTCGTCGCTCGGAAGGACATCGGGACTGCTCCCGATCTCAAATCGGGGATATCCAACATGTTGGATTGTTTTGGCCCGATTTCTTGTCGTGTGTCGTGTCCTCCGAGGACAAGCGAGCGCGTTGCCATGACTACGGCGTGTAGCCAATAAGAAGACGAGGTGACAAGCCGGTGAGGAAACACCAAAAAAAAAAAAAAAAACACAGCAGCATGGCTTTGACCATTGCCTTTTCTTTGGATTACGTGTCTTCTCTGTTAACAACAAACTGCACACTATCGCCACTGCATCCTCTTCGTCCGCCATGACTGTTTACTCTGAAGTCACGCTTGATCTCGAGAGATTTTGTGATGGGGAGATTTTTAATCTCCCCGTGTGGGGTCTAACACGGAGAAAAATCGGCCGACAATTTTAAAATCGTCTCGTGTGAACCAGGCCTTAGATTTATTTACCACAATGTACATTGTAATATTCAAAAATGCTAATCAAAAGAACTTGAATTAAATAAATATTTTACTTTTATGAACAAAAAGCTGCAGAAGTTGAAAACAGACTACATGTGATGCAAATGTAACGCCTTGGGCTAAGGATCTGACTGGGCCGAAGACAGGGCAGGGCTTTCAGACTAGGTTCGCCTACAGGAGCCAAAGCGAGTGAATAAGACAAAACGAGTATTTGCGGTTTCAAGTATGTACATATATTGTGTTTCTAAAATGATTTGCATATATAATAACCATCCATCTATGGATAATATATGGTATGGTATAATGAAAAGGTGTAAATTAGTTGGCAGGGTATAATACAATATTACTAGTACAATAGGTATATAATAGATTAATAAGTTATATTATAGATTACCAGGTATAATTAATATTATAATATAATATAATATGTATTATGGAATATATTATATTATCTATTAATTATATCTCAAACTAAAAAACAAAATCCAAAATCAAAGAGTCAGTCCAAATCTTTAAACAAAAAGGAAAGAACAAAACTGAAATGTTCACCAGGTCTTGATTCACAGTTCAATCCTTTTTAGAGTTCAGTTCATTGAAGATCCATATTTCACGGAAAGTTCATATATCCAAGTTCGAAAACAACAAAAGGTGTCCTACCGCAATACAGCGGGGGTTGGGTAGCTCGCCATCAAAGAGTTCAGGAGGTACACAAAAAAAACCTGACCTAAAACACAAGTCAGGAAAAAAAATACCCCATTAGTTAAAGTAGTACTAGAATTTAATATGCTGCTATCCAGAATATATAACTACAATATGTGTTTACCTGTTCACAGCTGCTGCAGTCCCTCAGTCATTGACCAAACGGTGGACAACACTATGGAGTCTTTAAAATCTGCATTAAATGCAGCAGCTCCTTTAAAACAGAAAACTATTAGGATTAGATCATCGTCGCCCTGGTACAGTGTTCAACTCCACACTTTAAAACAGGACGTCAGAAAACGGTTACTCCGGCTGTTGGTAGTGGACAGGCTGAAGCGGCATACGTGACTTCCCACTTAGACTCTTCAGTGGGCCTCGATAAATTCATGGCTGTGAGCCAAGCAGAGGTGATCTCTGTGGTCACATCCTCAAAAGCCTCAACTTGCATGTTAGACGCAGTCCCGACATGGCTCTTCAAAGACATACTTCCTTTGATAATTGAGCCTATCGTAAATATAATAAACACATCTATACAATGTAGCTATGTCCCACAAGCTTTTAAAACCGCGGTAATCAAACCCCTTCTGAAGAAAACAAACCTGGACCCAGAAATACTTACAAACTACAGACCGATCTCAAACCTCACTTTCATATCTAAAATCCTGGAAAAACTTATAGCTGAGCAGCTTTGTTGCCACCTGCAGGAAAATATGTTTGAAGTCTTTCAATCAGGATTCAGAGCTCATCATAGACTGAAACGGCACTAGTCAAAGTCACAAATGACTTACTACTAGCTGCTGATAATGGACAAGTGTCAGTGCTGGTCCTACTGGACCTTAGTGCTGCATTTGACACAATACACCACAGCATTCTACTGCAGAGGCTAGAATGTGATATAGGTCTTAGGATTTAAACCAGCCAAGGGCTGTTCCTCTATTTATCAGCTCGGTATCACTTTGTCAACGTAAATCAGAACTCGTCGCCTTATTCTGGAGTAGAATTCGGTGTGCCGCAGGGTTTGGTACTCGGACCGATTCTTTTCACTCTACATGCTGCCATTAGGAAACATTAAAAGGCATGGAATTAATTTCCACTGCTATGCAGATGACACACAGCTTTATCTGTCGATGAAGCCAAATCAGACAGATCAGCTAGAAAAGCTCAGTGCCTGCATAAAGGACCTTAAAATGTGGATGACTCTTAACTTCCTACTTCTCAACCCGGAGAAGACAGAAGTGATCCTACTCGGTCCGAAGCGCCTGCGTGACTCCCTCACTAACCAGATAATTACTCTCGATAATGTCAGTATTATACCCAGTAACACTGTGAGGAATCTTTTTGACAAAGAACTCTCCTTCAAGGCTTATATAAGCCAAGCAACTAAAACGGCGTACTTCCACTTACGGAACATCGCTAAAATTAGGAATTTCCTTCTTAAAAGTGACGCGGAAAAACTTATTCACGCGTTTGTCACCTCAAGGCTCAACTACTGTCACGCTTTATTGGCAGCGTGCCCTAAAGCGTCTTTGAAGAGCTTCCAGCTCGTTCAGAATACAGCAGCTAGGATCTTAACAGGTACCAAAAGGAGGGAGCACATAACTCCGGTGTTAAAATCACTCCACTGGCTCCCTGTGGAGTACAGAATAAAGTTTAAAATCCTTCTCTTAACTCTTTCAGTGCCAATGACGCATATTACGTCAATTCAAGATCTGTGGTTGTGTGCCATTGACGCATTTTATGCAATTGACGTGTTTTGGTGTATTCAGATCCAGACGCATCCATTCTATCATATATTTCTGATCGGGACTGTTTGACAGTATTTTATTCGGCCAGCAGATGTCAGTAGCGTCCTTTAGCTCTTCGATCAGGCATAAAAGGAACCGGAAGCCCAGATCTCATTGTGGGAGTAGGTTGGTTAGAGTGAGCACACGAGAGTAATCGGGAGAGCGAACATGAGCAGAAAGCGGCAGCTAACGATGGAGGAGGCGTTTGGTGCTGGTGGTACCATCAGAAGGTCGGTGGGTGATTGCCATGATGAAGGTGGAGGTGATCTGCCTCGGCCTTCAGTTGGCAAAAAGCCTGAGGCAACGGCTAAAGCTACTGCTAAGCATCTGGCCGTTGGCGGGAGTCCTTGCCGCGCACATCGCTCCAGAGCCGCCGCACGCAGTTCCAGTGGTCCACGTCAGTCCAGAGAAAGTTCCTCGTCGGATACAGGCTCTTCAGAGCTATGGGAACCTGAAGCTGACCCAAACAGCAGTGACTCATCTCCCGATTCCCCCAGAGCAACCGGCAGAGCAGGTAATGCAAGATGCAAGATGTTGACAACATGTCACCATGACAACATGACTAGTGTCGACGTTTGGGAGCGAGGACAGAGGGAGAAGGTGTCTGTCCTAAAACCGGAGTGTGTTGATGCCTATAACTCCTCCATGAATGGCGTGGATCGATTGGATCAGAACATTAAATACTACCCGTTCGTCCGGAAGTCTCTGAACTGGACCAAAAAATTTGTCGCTTACCTGTTCCAAATCGCAATGTACAATGCCTACACTCTCTACAGAGCCAGGAACGGGAACCGGGAATACAAAACCCTCTTGGAATTTATGCAGGGGGTCATGAGGTCCTGGACATTGAAGGTCCAGGATGAGGACGAGGAGGACATCGAGGACGAGGAGGACATCGAGGACGAGGAGGACCACAACGAGGAGAACCAGTCGATCGTTGCATGTGTGGAGGAAGGAGCACCACGAAACCCCCGGGCTCCATATAACACTGATCCAGAGAGCAGGCTCGATGAGGGTGCCAGGCACAAGGTGGAGTACCTGCTGTCCTCCGGCTCGAAGACCAGACCCTCGAGGAGATGCAGGGTCTGCATGCGCAAAGGCCTGCGCAGTGAGACCAGGATGTGGTGCAAGGCATGTGGTGTCCCCTTACACAAAGGAGAGTGCTTCACAAAATATCACACACAACAAGATTACACTATATAGACAGAGACACACGCACGCACACTCTCAGCCAATCAGCACTTTATGTATATAGTTATTTGTTTGTAATTTATGTTTGTACATTTCTTATTCTGTGTTCTGAGTATTATTCTGTGTTCTGAGTATTATTTTGCTATCAAAAGCACTTTATTTTGAGTCATTTCCCTTATTTTATATATGGGAAGAATGTTCTGTTGTGTGAGAAATGACTAAAGTAAAAACACTTTTCTGTCACTTTTCTGCATTGTTTGCTTATTTTCACAAACACCTCATTTTCTCAGCTTTATGTCGAAAACTGATTTCTGTGAAAAGTTTACCTTACTCCAATGGTGATTACAGAAGAACTAAAGCCGATAGAAACACACTTATTTTTTCTGAGTAAACTAGAGGGTCCAACCTTTCAGAATATGGTCTCAGATTTAAGCTAGTCATAGCAGAACATATTCTATGGGTCTTTAAAAGTCGGTGAAAATCAGCAAAACGGCTGGCACTGGAGGAGTGATGTTCTGAAAATGTCTGGCACTGAAAGAGTTCACATATAAAGCCATAAATGGCTTGGCTCCTTATCTCCAAGACACGTTAGTGTCGTATCAACCAAGTTGAGCGTTGCGCTCACAAAACGCCAGACGTCTGGTGGTTCCTAAGGTCTCAAAAATCACTGTTGGCGGCAGAGCATTTAGCTCCAAGCTCCTTTACTGTGGAATCAGCTTCATTTATGTTAAGGAAGCAGATACGGTCCCCACATTCAAGGCCAGGCTTAAAGCACTCTACTTTAATTTAGCATATAATTAGGTAATGTATAATATGTGGTGTATATATTATATATATGCTGTATTATGTTATATATTATACAATATATGTATTATGTTATGTATGGTGTTCAGGGTTCCCGTTAGCCAGCTGTAGCCGGCTTTTGGCCGGTAAAATATGTCTTTGGCCGAGAAAAAAAAAGTGCCGTCGGCCACGTTGGCTGATTGAAAAAAAAAATATTACGTTACAATAAAAATTATAATTATTATTATCACTATGCAATAAATAAATCACTTAAATCATACAACAAATCAATAAATGTAGTCGTTTTAAAGGCTTGTGGTTTAAAAGGTGGTCGTGAATGCCTAGGATTAGCGCACCCCATGACGTTAACGCCCTCTGGTTCGCGGCGCGAGATTTGAAACCTACGCTAACAATGTCGAAGCAATAGTCTCTCGCTCATTTCTTCAAGAAAACTACTACTCAATCTACAAGTGACTATACACCAACGGAAGAATCAGGACCTCCCGAAAAGCGCCATGCATCTGGTGCAAATGAAAATGATGTCGGAGGAGCAAAAAAAGCTCGAAGATGCTACAAGCCCGAGTGGCAGGATCGGTTCAAATGGTTAAGGCGAGAGCTAATGGATGGGACTGACAAAATGTTTTGCATCATTTGTGAGAAGTCCAGTAAATATAACGGTTTCACCAAAGGATCAATTAACTATAAAGCCTCTACACTGTTAGAGCACAGCCAAAGCTCAGATCACCTGTCCGCTGTGCATTTATCGCAACAAAGCGCTATGAAACAGCATTGTGATAAAGCGCTCCAATCAAGCAGAAACGCCTTGACTTCACAGATGAAGGTTGTTTTTTACATGGCTAAAAACGATATACCCCGTCAGTTTTGTGGACTGTTGGAATTGATGCAAAGTGTTGATGCTCCTGACTTTAAAAGTAACATTTTATACAAACACGACGAGTCTGTAAATGACATGGAAAAGGGTTTAGAAAAAACTAATTAATGAAGTAAACGAAAAAATAAAGAAAAGTGACTTTTTTGGCTTGATAATTGATGAAACGGTAAACATCACAGTCAATAAAAAACTCATAATGTATATAAAACTTGAAAACAATGGGAAAGTGGAAACGTGCTTCCTAGGGGATTACAATATCCATTCAGGAACAGCTCAGTGTATTTTTGATGAAGTGAAGGCTGCACTAAAAGAAAGAGGCATAGTTATGAGCCGCGTCACAAGCCTGGGGTCGAATGGAGCCAGCGTAATGATGGGAACGCACTCTGGAGTTGGGGCACTTTTGAAAAAAGAAAGCCCGTACAGTCTCCAAGTCCACTGCATTGCACACCGAGTGGCACTGGCTGCCACCGACGCGTCCAAAGCGGTGAAGAAGATTGCGGACTATAAGCGCACCATCAACAGCGTGTATACCTTTTATAAACACTCTGCAACCAGAACAAATCGTTTGCGACAACTCTCTGCCACTCTCGATGAAGGAGATATGACCAGCCTGAAACAGCAGTGCGCAGTGAGATGGCTGTCACTGGGGAAAGCGGTTGAGGCCATCAGACACAACTGGCCAGAGCTCGTGATGGAGCTACACGAAGAGGCTGCTAAAGGCAACCCTCAAGCCCATGGCATTCTCAATCAAATACAGACGTATGGATTTATTGCACTTACCTATGCCCTCTCAGACATCCTCCCAGTGATGAACAAATTAAATCTGTGTTTCCAAAAGGAAGACGTAAACTTGGCAAGCATCGCTCCATGGTAAAGGCCTCCGTGTCCGCTTTGGATCAGCTCAAAGACAACGCAGGCCCAGAAGAACGCAACTTAAAAAGAGACTTCGATGTAACAAAAAGCGAGTTTAAATGTGTTAAAATTACACAGGCTTCGGAGAAAAATGTGCGGGCTTTTGACAGCAATACATCGAACACCTCATCGAGTCGCTGAAAAGGCGTTTCCCGACTGATGATCTAAGCCTCCTGAACTGCTTCGACATGGTCTTCAATCCAAGCAGATATCCAGAAAAAGATGGTAAAACTAGCCGATCATAATTGAAAATTATAGGCTGGCAGTGGCACCATCTGTGAGGCTAACGTTTTGTTTTTTGCAGCTAATCTGCAGCAGTACGCTGAGAGTGCAGTAATGCCAATAACAAAGCACTACGGCGCACCAAAAATGACTGCTGCTGGGCAGGTGCAACCGCTCATATGTGCCCAAGACGCAGAAAAAGATGCTCTCCCTCTAATGATGGCATTACGCGGATATGGGGGGTTGACGTTTCATACCGGATGCAAAGTGGTCATAAATGTCTTAAAAGAAATGTTTCCCGACTGGGCAAAACTTGGACAAATAGCCCTGACCATACCCGTGTCCAGTGTACCAGCAGAACGGGGGTTTTCACTCCAAAACCGAATCAAAACGTCTGAGAAGTCGCCTGTCAGAGGAAAAAGTTACTCGGATCATGCGGATTGCCAGCTGTGGCAAGGGGCTGGATACATTTGACTTTAAAGCAGCTAAACATTTTAATGCGATTAAAGTGCGCCGCAAATAATGTGGCTTAGGCTTTAGCCTATGTGTCAAATAAGAGTGGGAGGACATGAAGCACATCTTTAAAAACCTTAAAAATTCATAGGCCAGTTATTTTTGCTTTGAGATAAGTTATAGGCCTATTGTATTAATTCTATTTTCTCGTTCACTTGTTCAATTTGAGTGGCCTGTAGCAGCCTACAGTCTAATATCTGTGATATAGCCTATGAACTGTATGTCTATTCATGTTGGTTACATGATGCCACTGGTTTATGGAATGAGTTAAGAGTGGACTATGCTTATTTTAATATTACAGAACGCGTTTGGCTACTCTCCGAATCAAATAGGCTGCTGCATCTATAAATAAACATTAACATTGCTGTTTGATTTATTTGTTGGTGTTCCTTTTCAATTGACCTCAAGTTAATTACTTGCTTTCCTGTATTGTTCAGCCCATCTCTTCCTGCTACCCTATAATCAATTACACCGTAGGTTTTAAGGTTATACAATTTGCTATCGTTTGCCATATCACGCTCACTACAGATAGGAAACACCTGGAAAAAGGAAACACTTGGAAAAAGAAAACAGACAAATATATTTTTTATTTTGCCCCGTGGAATGATCAGTGTGTCTTATAATGTCCAGTGCTATCAGGGTAAGGCAGCTACGAGCTCAACCGCGTGCAGATTAATGTCCCCAGGCGAGAGCTTCGACAAAAAGCCGCTCGACACGTTACTGTGTTTTTGTCTGCATTGTACTGACGAGTTGCGTGTGCTTTCATTAGCCTTTGGAAACTTTTTACTGTTCATAAGACCTTGTGCGGATTTGTTAAGGCTACAACATGGGCCGTCTACAGTTTTCATGTGCGTAAAAGGACGCAATGTGTGCCCCTCATTATCGTATTTGTGGCATGCAGGGCAGCGCTACGAGCTTTAGATGACATGTATCTGCTTTTCTGCAGCAGAGAAGCATTTACGTGGCTGTAAAGTGAGCAACTGGTTGTGCACATGCACCTATCACGCACAACGTGTGCTCAATGG